AAGATAAAAACCCCTATAAAACCAAATTAAAAACCAAATATTAGAAGCTGTATTCCAATTAAAATTATACTTAAAATCATCCCTAGGTAAAATCCTCCCTAGGTCAGGCCCGCTTGCTGGAAAAGCCATGTCTTGAGGGCGCAGCGGAAAGTAAGGAGATCCGGAATCATCCGGATCTCGGGGGGTAGTTCGTTCCAGTTCGTTCAATAAGCTACAGTTAGCATAGATATCAATGGCTTAATGTGTATACTAAGCCATTGATATCCGTGCTAACTGTAACTTATTGCCTACCATGGTTGTTCAAGAAAAGTTGGTTTAAAAATTCTAGCTAGTGTTATTTATGAAATATGTTATCAGAATGTTTCTACAATTCTGTAGACGGGTAATAGTTCCATTTAGAAATCCATATAAGCCAGGGGTGTCAAACTCAATTTCATTGAGGGTCGCATCAGCACTGCGGTTGCCCTCAGGGGGCTGGGTGGGTGTGGCCAGGGTGGGTGCAGCCTACTGGGCGGGCGTGGATGGAGTGGGTGTGGCCTACTGGGTGGGCGTGGCCAGCTCTACATCATTCGCGTCAAGGGTGCCTTTGGGGGCCTGGGCAAGAGTGGGACAGATCTGAGGGTCTCTGGCGGAAGGGGGTGGGACCAGGGCAAGTGCCAAGGCATGTCCACTGGAGGAGTCTCACTGTTCCTCTCAGGCCATGCGGGGGGGGGGGCTGGATGGTGGTGCGGGCTGCCCGGAGCCCTGGGCAGCAGAGGTCAAATGCACAGCCTGGCCCATGAGCACCCGCGGCACCAAGCCCAGCCCCACTTCCTCAAGGCTGCTGCTCAAGGTTCTCCTGGTTCCTCGCTGTTTCCAGACGGCCTTGTGGAGCTAAGACTGAATGTGTTTCAGCATAGATGGCCACCACAAAATTGTACATTGGCTCCCGGCCGGCCTGGGCCAGGGCCAAGGCAGCGGGGGCCGTTCCCTCACTGTTTCCAGGATGGCTTCACGGGCCACATGAAACCACTTCGCGGGCCGCATCCGGCCCCCGGGCCTTGTGTTTGACGTGTCTGATATAAGCCATACTAAACTTTTCTTTTTAGCAAAGGTAGAATATTTATCACTGCATTTAAAAAGCTGGAGAAATCCAACTATTTTAAAATATATTTGCTTGCCAGATATATTTTAAATGTATCATAAAAACTTGAACTGCACTTAAGATTGGACAGATCTGTCAACAGTGGATAACTTTAATCATAGCCACTCCTATTAGATAAAAAAAATAGCACAAATGGAATATGAACAAGTAGAATTCAATTTGGACCTAGGTTCAGGTTTCGTATATACTATGCCATGAAAGAGTGAGATTCAAACATATTTCTAAAGCCTCAATATGTATTTGTTTTCTCCACATGAGAAACAGGCAACTCAGCTATCTCCAGATGTTTTAAATTTAAGGGTATTGCCTTGTTAGCTGAGGCAATGGAACTGTAGTTGGAAATATTTGGACAGCACCAAGTTTTTATCATGCCAAAGGAGTAATTCACCATTAGTATACATGAGCTTTGTACATTATATCTATAGCTTAGAACATGCGTCACGCCGAAATCACGCCCACCCGATTGCTGGCAATGGGAAAAAAGTCGTGATACGTCATGCGACGTCACATGACATCGTGAGTTTGACATGCCTGGTTTAGAACTAGAAGGGATCATTTAAGCAACCAAATCCAACTCTGTGATATGAGCAAGAACCCAAATTAAAGCATCTGTAACAAATGGCAGTCCAGTCTCTCAATATATTGAGTTAACGTCAGGCTATCACCTCTCTTGATAATTGATTCCATTGTCAAATTTTCCTTATTATTAATATTTTTTTAGAAAACTTCTATTTTTCAAACCATTAATTTAACTCTTAAAACTTTAATTTACCCTTAGTAGTCTGATAACATAGATAACTTTCATTCATGTATTATTTTGCATGCTTTTTGACATTTCAACAGGGCAGCCAGAAACAGATTATATAGACGCAATATTCGTTCTTTGGTTTTATTTCATATTTTTATAAACATTGGAAACACTACTTTTTTGTCTATGCCATGTTCTATATTACTATGGGAAATACCTACAGTGCATTCAGAAAATATTCAGACCCCCTTCACTTTTGTCAATTTTGTTATACTGCATCCGATTCTACAGTTGTCGAAATTTATTTTTTCGGGTTACTCCAGAGACATTCAATAAGGTTCAAATCAGGGCTCTGACTGGGCCGCTCGAGGACATTCACAGAGTTGTCCCTAAGCCACTGCTGTGTTGTTTTGGCTGTGTGCTTAGGATCTCTGTCATGTTGGAAAGTGAACCTTCAGCCCAGTCTGAGGTCCTGAGCACTGTGGAACAGGTTTTCATTGAGGATATCCCTGTACTTTGCTCCATTCAGCTTTCCCTCAACCCTGATCAGTCTCCCAGTCCCTACTGCTGAAAAACACTCCTACAGCATGATACTGCCATCACCATGCTACACTGTTGGGATTGTATTGGGCAGATGATGAGCAGTGCCTGGTTTCCTCCAGATATAATGTTTAGAATTGAGGCCAAATAGTTCAATCTTGGTTTCATCAGAAGAGAAGATTGTTCCTCACAGTCTGAGAGACCTTCAGGTTTTTTTGTTTGTTTGTTTGTAAATTCCAAGTGGGTTTTCATGTGTTTTGCATTGAGGGGAGGCTTCTGTCTAGCCACTCTGCCATAAAACCCAGATTGGTGGAGGACTGCAGTAATGGTTGTCCTTCTGGAACTCTGTCCCATTTCCACATAGGATCTCTGGAGCTCAGTCACAATGACCATCAGGTTTTTGGTCACCTTTCTAATAAGACCCTTCTTGCCCAATTGCTGAGTTTGACTGGGAGACCAGCTCTTGGAAGAGTCCTGGTTGTGCCAAACTTCTTCCATTTGAGAATTATGGAGGCCACTGTGCTCCTAGGAACCTTCAGTGCAGCAGAAATTTTACTGTAGCCTTCCCCAGATCTATGCCTTGCAGTAATCCTGTCTCTGAACTCTGCAGGCAGTTCCTTTGACTTCATGGCTTTTGCTTTGCTACAGTATGCATTGTCAGCTGTGAGGCCTTCTATAGAGAGGTGTGTGCCTTTCAAATCATGTCCAATCAATTTAATTTACCACAGGTCAATTCCAGCCAAGGTGTAGAAACATGTCAGCAATGATCAAGAGAAATGGGAAGCACCTGAGCTAAATTTCAAGTGTTATTGCAAAGGGTCTGAATACTTATGCCAATGTGATATTTCAGTTCTTTTTAATAAATTTACAGACATTTGTAAACGTGTTTTCACTTTGTCGTTATGGGATACTGAGCATAGATTAATGAAAAATGGCTGTTCACTGACGGTCGCCATCCAACCTGACTGAGCTTGAGAGGATTTGCAAGGAAGAATGGCAGAAAATCCCCGAATCCAGGTGTGCAAAACTTGTCACATCATATCAAAAAAGATTTGAGGCTATAATTGCTGCCAAAGGTGCTTCAATAACGTACTGAATGAGGGTCTGAATTCTTATGCCAATGTGATATTTCAGTTTTTTCTTTTTAATAAATTTACAGATATTTTAAAATTCTGTTTTCATTTTGTCATAACGGGGCACTGAGTGTAGATTAATGAGGGAAAATTGAATTTCAACAGCTGAAGAATCAGGCTGCAGCATAACAAAATTGACAAAAGTGTAGGAGGTCTGAATACTTTCTGAATGCACTGTAGGTACTTCCCATAGTAATATAGAACATGGCATAGAAAAAAAAGTAGTGTTTCCAATGTTTATAAAAAACATGGAAGTACTCAAACAAAACCCAAAGAAGTATGGTTAGCCTGAAAATTGCACAATACTTTATGTCTAGCACAAAATTTCTACTTGGCAGTGATTAAAAAAAATAAGAACATTATACTAATTAAGAATTGTTTATCTTCTGCAATTATGCAGAATTGGATCTAACAGTCTAGATTACAAAAATCTATGTCTAATATTTCTGCAGATTGCATTGCCAAAAAAAAAAAAAAAAAAAAAAAAAAAAAAAAA